CCCTCTCCTCCCTCTCCTCCCTCTCCTCCCTCTCCTCCCTCTCCTCCCCCCCCCCCCTCTCCTCCCTCTCCTCCCTCTCCTCCCTCTCCTCCCTCCCTGCTTTCCTCAGGACGTTGAATAAAATGCTCTGGTCTAAAAAGCTTGAGTGAGTTGTGAAAAGCTTTTTATTACCTGCCAGAAGTTACTTGTCTTTGCAACTCTTGCAAGCTCTTCTGGTTATTTTTACTTGCAGAGTGTTTTTCCCCATTCTTCAGCTGCTGGGCAAGATGGCGTTCATTTGGCTTCAGTTCTGACAAAAGATAAATGAGCTTTGGGCCCTCAGTGATTCACTTTGGCTGCCAGAGGGTTCCAAAATAGCAAACTATTTTTCATAACTGCAATGTGATATGAAGTGAGTTGCAGCAGGTGCTCTAACATATACTACAGCCGTCTGCAGAGTGGGGAATTCATTAAAGTTTCCTCATTTGTCCAAAAAAGTCACCTTTTGGAGTGGCTAGCATTCTGTCTCTGCCAGCTGAAGGTACACGCTCCTGAAGGCAGGAGGAGAGAGGGGTTTTAGTTGTGCAGGAAGTACTTATTGAAATGGAACTGGGAAGTTAATTTGTTCATCTTGTGAAGAATCATTCTCACTTAGTAGATTCATCATTTACTTTTCCATTCAGTGTAATTTGATTTGCAGTTTCTCTCAAGGGTGCAGATAGCATGGATCCCATGATTTTTTGGCCTTTATCTTATTTTTAATTACATTTCAATGTCTTTCACTTTATAGATTTGCTGCAAGTAGAAATTTGAATTGTAGTTCCAGAAAACAGTATTTTGCAACTGACAAGGTGATCTTGATAGAAAGGTTCCTGCCTTAGACTCAGTGAAGAAATCAAGGATGCCAGCTAACCTGATAGTTCAATGTGCTCATTCAATTTTTGTTTAAAGATCTATATTTTCTTGTACAAAATGAGAATAAATTCTCAGAGGAATCAAAGCATGTCAGAGCCCACACAAACAAAGCCCATAGAAGAATTTAGAGAATGAGCTGTCTTAAAGGCCAAGCACAGATCTTGCACAGGTCCCTACCTGCAATCCCGCTGACATAAACAGAATACCATGTAACCACTCAGGTCCTGCAGAATCAGCTCTTGAAGAATTTATGCCCATATAACTGCTCAGACACGGAAAATGTAATAAATATTAATGTTATTCTCAAGGAACAGTTTCCAAAGAAGAAATGCACAGATAAATTTAAACTTATGCATATTTTAATCCATAAAATATAGATTTTTCTTAAAGTGCTGGAGTATTTAAGGTTTGTATCTAGCCAGTACTCAATACAAATGTTTTCATACTAAGTAAGATTTATGTGGCCATGTATTGTACCTAGAGGTCCAGCACACAGCACCATGTTTAAACAATGCACATCTCTCTTCCCTGAAATAGGTAGCACCCAAATAAGTAAATTGTCAGTGATGCAGAGCCCCCCCTTGCACTGCAAGTACCAGAGTCACAGCTTCTCTTATGGTTTGTGCTTCTGTTTCTGCTGCCTGGCAGGGAGGCAGTGATCCCAAGGACATTGCCAAAATTCACCTCATAAAACCTTAATAAAAAGTATCCCCTCTGACACAGTAGGGGAGGTAATGGATGGCTACACCTCCCCCCATGGGCTGGGTTCCCAGAGTGTGGTTCATTCTTCCTAGAGGATTTGTAGCATGATTTTTCACTGCAAAATTTCATCTCGGTGGTTTTTTTTACTGCTGAGGAGCAATGGAGAAAAGAGGCTACAGACTAACTGGCAGGGAAACTGAACGTTGTACGAAATATTTGTTGCCATCCTCAGCCTCCAATGGAGCTAGAAAAGAAATATCTGTTACAGATTCATCACTCCTGCCCTTCCAAGGAAAAACTATAAAATCAACCTTCATAAATCCCCAAAAGCTAGAAGCAAAGCTAGGAGAAAAGCCTTGATTTCCCAATTATGATTAATATAAAACATGTTTTAAAAGCATACTGGAGAGGAGTGGTGGTCAAGACTAATATCTTCAAAGCTTCTATCACATAATAGAAATCAAAAGGAAAAACAAGGTTAGAAAAGCAGTAAGGCAAAGTATTAATGAAGTGATCTGTGGTACAGTGTTTATTCAGCCTGTTAGGATTTCTTACAGCAGCACTGTTCGTTACTCACTGGTTGTATTTGATTAATGTTGACTTGGTACCCTCCTTTTCCTGCATTGGTAATGCTGTGCTTCCCCTGAGACTCACAGGGCAGAATTTGTCCTTTGGTAGATAAGAGAGAAAAGGGGAGAACAATAAAAATAATCTTTGGTTTAATATTTTCCAATTTCCCTCTGAATCTAGATATATGGTGTGGGATCCAACAGTACAAGGATTTAGGCTACTTGAGCAAGGAAGAAATCTTGGCTTTTGTGGAAATGCTGTTCTTAACCAATTCCATAAAGAACAGAATGGTGAGCTCATCTTTTGTGTCAGAATTCTCAAGCTAACTGCTCTTCAGGTCTCCTCCAGCACACTTTTGCATCTAATATGAAGTGTAGAAACACACATTTCACACGATATTCATAAGTGTTTTGACAGATGAGATCTGGCAAATTCTTTTTACACTGATTTGCAATGTTAATTAGAACAAAAGCCTCAAAACTTTGGCTTCTGTGCTGAAGCAACAAGTGGGAATGGCAGTGTGGTGGTTGATGTTTGCAGCCTCACTGGAAGGAGAGGGCATTGCCTGGGTCCAGCTGAACTCCTCACAGCACTGATGACTTCAGAGCTCTGGGTCAGGAATGTGGCACTGTGGGGTTGTATTTTCAAATTAATTGCTGCCTGGCAGTTTCTTGTGCTTCACAAGTGGATAAATCAGAAATGCCTGGTAGCATTTTGTACTCTGCTGCATGCGGAAAGCAGGAATAAGAGAATATTAAGCTCTTAAACCATTTATTCATTTAAATATTAATGAATAGTAGAATTAAAGATGCCCAGGTGCTTGTTCTTCAACCCAGATATATTTATTATGTGTATTATTATTTTACTTCCATAGTAATTTTTTTAATAATATTATGTGCATATGTAAATTTGATGCAAGCTAAAAAAAAAACCCAAACCAAAATTGTGTGAATGTTTTCCTTTATTCCTAGTATTGACAGCTAAACTCAAAGTTGAAATGTCTGAATTAAATAGATCACATTCCTATTTGCAAGATGAGATGTAGGAGATATTGTGTCTGTAATTCTAGAAAAGAACTATTTGCAAACAACACATAGAACATAAATTATTATACAAAACTGTCATTTCAGATTTTCATTTTCTCCTTATGCAGCAGTTGAAAATTTTAAGAAAACCAACATAACCTTTAAAGTAATAATTTTTTTCAGTATTATGTCATTTCACTTTTTTAACTTTTCAATATTGTTTGATAATTTAAGATTGATGCAGTGGTCAAACTGCTCTTGAACAGACATTGTTGTTTGACTGATTGCTGTGGCTGAAGTCCCACCAGTGAGTGTAATGAGTGCAGATTTCTCTTTTTTCCATGCAATGTCTAAAATCTGTTCAGCTCCAAGCTTTCAGGTTTTCAGAATAAAAAGGACAAGAGCCATTACCATTGCCACAGTGGTGATTGCCTCAAAAAATTAATGGAAAATATATGTGGTAAGGTTTGTTTCTGTGTTTGTTTTTAGTCAGATTGATTTATTTGAGAGGCAATATTGATAAATGATCAGCTTGATAAGGCCCTAAAGCAGTCCCACTAAACTGGCACTGTAAGGTGGTGGCAAAAATGTGAAACAAAGATTTGAACAGAAGGCATGAGGGATTTTATGGGAAATAAGGGATTTCTTAGCTAACAAATTCATCCTAGGTTTAAGCAGTAGTTTTGCAGCTGGTCATCTCATGTCATCCATGTATGCTTATCTAGACCTTGGCAAACTGCTGCAGTCCCTAAAAGGTGCCTGACACACACACTGAGATTGTTTCCTGCTCCTGGTATCCCTCGTTCTTGTTAGAGAAGGAGCCCTACTCTGATCCTCCTCCAAGCAAGGAAATGTCTCTGTGTATAAATCATTTGTCCCTTTTCTTTTGTTTACATTAGGTTGGTACTTTTCATTCAAGAAATTAATCCTTCCTGTGTGTGTAAAAAAAAAAAAAAAAAAGCTTTGGAAAGTTTGTGTGTCCCCATTTTGCTGGCTTGGTATCTCTTGTCCTGTTGTACTTTGGGGTGCCCATTTCTACAGAGATATGTGGAAGGGACTGTTGAGACCACCTCCTTCTCCTGGTCTGGGGGTGCAGACATATGGATCCCTGGCAAAATTTCAGGGATCAAACATTTGAGTGGTACATTTTGTAATATTTAGCAAAATCCCAGGGCAGATCTGCTGCAATGCCATGTGGCCTGTCATTGAAGGTCGTGGTACAGAATGTGGGTTTGGGGTTTGAAAGTCAGATGTTCACCACTGCATCCCTGTTAGCAGCATTGCTTTTCCACCTGCTTCTCTGTCTACAGCCTTCCAGAGCAACACATATCAAAGTCTCACTTAGTATTTGAAAATAAGAGCTGCATCATTTTCTGCACCCAGTTGTGTTCTTAGATTGGAAACAAGGCCACCTGCAGCTCTAAATACCCTCCTTTCTCATTATAACAACACCCTTAAACCCAGTCATTTTAGCTGTTATCAAATTCATCATCTAGAAATGCCTGCTGTAGTTAATGTTGCATCATCATTTTGATTTTAAAGACCTTTTTCTCAGGCCTATAAACGGGCCATAAAAACTTAGGTGAGGCAGCCACTTTATGTAGGAAAATTTGAACTGTTGGCGAAATCTGATGTTAAAGGAATTCTGTCAAGCATTGCTAAACTGCCTATCAATAAAAGTATCTCTTATCTATTGTTTTAAGTATAAGTGAATGTTGAGATTTGGAGGATATTAATGTTGAGCAATCTCCTGCACTGCTGGAAATCTAACAACAACAGAATAGTGTTCAGGGTGTCTGAGCTGGCTTTTGCCACCACAAAGAGAGATGCACTGAGACACAGGGTAAGAGTAACAAATGTTTGAGAGGAATAAAACAGATCTGTGAGATGTAGTCTAATAGTTTAGGCTTAATTTCTGTGAATAAACTGGAAAAGATGCAATTCAAACCAAAACTGATTAGTTTGATTCCCCTCTGTTTTTAATTGAACACTAAACAAATGAGTTTTAAATGACATTTAACTCAGATAAGAAAAGTGACAAGCAAGCAGATGA